TCCAGGAATACCACGGCCCTATAAGGTTAAAATAAAAGTTGTTATGGTTTGTGACCTATACTTAGTATAAATACAGACACAGACATAACTCAGTTCAAAAATAAAGTCTGTCACTAAATAAATATGTGATGTTCATTCCACCTAAAGGACTGGATAAAGAAAAGCAAGCATGGCTTTACTTCTAAAGGAAGCAGCAGCTTGCTTCAGCTCCTCAATATTCCTTTGATGTCTAAGCTAACCAGTAATATATTTTCCAAACTGTTTTTTGAAAGAAGTCTTCCATGCTTGCCCTCAGGAGAACGCCCCATCACTCACAAAGAGGCACATCACAACCTGACAGTTAAAGAAGTTTTTCATTTGTTGTGTTTTATAGGAAACCTACTTTAAAAGCAATACAATGCCTCTTCACAATAGATCGTGTGGTATTTAGAAGTTCCCCAAACATTTAACTCAGAAGAGCAGCGGAGAAAAAAAGAGTCAGAAACACACCCCTTGACAGGTAGGCGGTACTTCCAGACACCAAAGCCAGTAGAAACTGAAAATGAAACGGTGGCACTTCTGAAATGACCTCTGATGGGATTCTAATTTAATGCACTGAATTTTGTTTTAAACCCAGTCATTCTATCTCCCTCTCCTGTACATTTTACATCTCTTTAGCAATACCCAATTGCGTGTAGTCAAGGATTGAATTCATGTCTTATGCACACTCCTGGCCTCAATTCCAAGCACAGGAACTAGTATATAAAAAGCTCTAATGCCATGCATGTTGAACTTAATAAAACAAAGCACCAGCTGCTTAGAACTCCCTCATCTCTCTCTTTCCTTTCCAGGCTCAGTCTCCTCGCCTTGGGATTCCTCCCTACTCTCGTCCCTCTTACATTAGCTGGAATTGCTTTTACTTGCAACTGTCTCTGATGCCATATTTGTTAGCTTGTCGTTTCTGACTTCCTTTCCCAAACTATCCATATACGAAGCACCCAATGGAATCAATGTCCACCCTCTGATGATATTATTATTTCTAATTATTTAGGCAGACAAAACAAGCATGAATTGCTCATGAGCAGTATGTTTTAATAAGTAGGGTTTTTTTTAAGGCATTCTTTGGAAAATTCCTCCTATTTGAACATTTATTATGTGGATCAATTTGGGAAATAAGTGTTATGCTTGAAAAGACCGAAGTAATCAATAAGTTATTTCATTAGCAGAAGCCGAGAGGTTTGACAAATTTCACTAAAGGTTTTTGGTTTTTTTTTTCAAGGCATCTCTATAAGATGTTGAGCTCTGAGTTGAAAATATGGAAGAAAAGCCAGCAAGCTATTCACTTCTGAAAATAGGCTTAGAATGGAAAAGTTGACAGGTGCCAAAATACGGCAAAGAAAACAGCACATATAGAAAACAAGGAGGAAAAATACAGATTAAGGATAAAACCAAAGAGGAATGAAGAGCAAGACAGAAAGGCAGAGCAGCCTGAGAGCCTAGTCGTCTATGGATGGAAATAACACAAGTCTGCTGCATGGTGCCGTGTAGAAAAAGACCAGCCAGGGAACCAGGTGGCTGATAATATGTGATGAGTGCTATTTCATTAGAGATAAAACCAGTGGTGAGGACAGTGGTGTGATGCCAAGGTCTCAACACTGAATACTTAGATTTGCTGTTGTTATGCAAAAAAATGTCTTCTAGTTGGGGGTGGGGAAAGGATTGTCTATTGCGAAATGCCTGCCACCTGTAAACAGACATTGCATTATATCCCATGCATTCAAATTGCTCTAAAATTTTCCTACTCATCGTGGGATGCTTACTGCACCAAATAAATCGTAAAATCCTGTGCGATGTGTACTATGTAGAAAACTGCATTGAAAAAAAATTCTCTGTGGCAGAATCTTACCTAAAGGTTAGAAAGGTTAGAGATATTGATCATGTCCCTTTACATTTACTTACTGGAAAGCCACGCGGTCCCGGCACTCCAGGTTCTCCCTGTCAATGAAAATAGCTTCATTGTACTTAGCTTTTTGTAGCATGACTATGCAGATATGAAAACTGCATCAATATTGACATCATTACAACACTCCATCTGAATGGTTTTAATGTAATTCAATTCAACTAAAACACAACTTGAGCTGAACAAGTGTATTTCAGCTACTTCACAACTAATCTGTTTGTTGATTTGGAAACACTACAATAAAATTACACTTCAGTGTTTAATTAATATCAGCAATGAATGCCTGGTGGCTAACTTACTTTTTGTCCTCTTGGTCCAACAGAGCCAGGAGATCCATCAGGTCCTGTTAACCCCTAACAAAACAAGATGACATTACAGCATAGCATCCTTAGGCAAACCACTAAGTGGATAATTCCCTTTTATTTATTAATTATGTACAAGATGGTTATCTATGCATGATGCAAATACTTATAAAGAAACACCTCTCGGGAAGGTATGGCTCAAGCGGTAAAGCGCATGCTTAGCATGCAGGAGGTCCTAGGTTCAATCCTTGGTACCTCCTCTAAGAATAAATAAATAAATAAATAAATAAATAAACAAACAAACAAACAAACAAACCTAATCCCCTACCTGGCCAAAAAAAATTTTTTTTAAATGAAATACATCTCTATATGTTTACTCAAAAGTAATGTTTAACATAAGATCTGCCTGTGAGTTACTTTTTGTTGATAAATTTTATATTCCTAACTTCCTGTTAAATGCATTGTTTATCACAAGGTTCAATAATTTAGTACTTTTTGCCTCTGCTTTGAAATGCAATATGTTACTGTTATTTTATTTTATTTTATTTACTTTTTTTTAAGGGGGAAGGTAATTAGGTTTATTTATTTATTTACTATTTCTTAAACAAAGGTACTGGGGATTGAACCCAGGACCTTGTGCATGCTAAGCACACGTTCTACCTCTGAGCTATCCCCTCCCCTCTGTGATACAATAATTACAGTATTCTAATAGCCAAATCTGGTGGGACAGTGGCTGGTCTTAGCTCTGCCACTTGTCCATATTTATGTACCTCTTTTACTTCACTTCTAAAATAAAATTACTATATGTCTCTATAACTCTCTAATGATGCCTTGAGAGGTAAAATGTTTCTTCAATGGGAATTAAAACTAATCAATCTCATTATTGCCTTATAGTCACCTAAAATTTTCTAGCAATGACAACTACTTACTGAAGAATATTATCTTTTAAAGCTGAATCACTTGAAAACATGCAAGTTTCCAGGCTCTCGCTATAATTAAGTATACATTTTCATGTGTGCCACTCAGTATGTAGATCAAGTCCATTACTGTAAAACACATTTAGAACCACCACAGGTAATGCTTAAGCAGTTATTATAGCATAACTTCCAAATACGGTTGTTTTCCCTAACAGTGCTTACTTTATCATCATCCTCAACATAAAACAGACATTAAAGCATGATAACACTACGTGTGCATCCGAATTTCCATTCAGTGACAATGCACCTTCATCTTTTAATTTTTCTGTACTTTTAGATGTCATTTGTAATGTAATCTGGAAACTATGCCTTACTAAAGATAAATATGTGTGTGTGTCTGTAGACATATACATATGTATGTGCACATATTCATATATGCGTGCATAGGTAAATATCTTACATAACCTATCTGTTATCAAGATTTTGAAAAGGACCAAAATGATATTAATCGAGGGAGGGATTTCTTGAAAATATGAAAGCCCTACTTAAAAATGAATGATCAAAATCCATATTTAATCTGTCACAGTCTTCATAAATATCAATAAAGTGCATTCATGTAATTTGTACAGAAAACTATATCACTGGCCACCATTTTTACATTTCCCTACATCAATTAATTTTCCTCACAACTCCAAAGAGTGAATCAAAGGAAGTAGAAAAAAAAATGAGTTGAAAATGTTGATTACTGGAAACTTAGCAAAGAGTGAAGTTAGTTACTCAACACACACAGAAGAATTCTTGACAGACTATCTGATTTTCGATCTCCCCAGTATGACTACAACACTGTCATTTGGGAACAAGCCCCAACGTCTGAGTTGCTGGGCACCTATGGGAATGTATTTCAGCACACAAACCATCCCTTCAGGAGACCACATGGATTTCATAAACCTCAGGGTGTGTTTGACAAATAGGACCTCTAACTCCCACTTCACACATACACCCTCCAAGACCCATCCCGGTCAATGCCCCCGCACATGGCCAGCCAGCCATCTTCCACCTGGGACTGCAGTAACTGACAAGACTGGAGGACACGAACTACCACATATGACAGCATCTCAGCTGCGCAACAATCAAGCAGGACGACCGGGTAACGTGGAGGCTGCTCCCAGTCACTTCTAACTTAGACTGTCTTCCTTAAGACATGTTAAATTGTGTGTAATCCCTAGGAAGCTCTCTGAATTAAACTGTAAATACAGTGTGGTGCCAGAGGATCCCGTGAGTGCTGCTATGAGATAGCCATGTAGGAAAGCAGAAACTCCATGAGGACAAGACTGCGTGTCCATGGCAATCCTGGCACACTGCCCCTGGCATCCAACACACACTCAATAAATGAAAACTGAATAAAATTAACATAGGTTAGTGCCTATTAGGTGAAGGGATTTGACACTGTCCCTCCACATCATCTTTATTTTTGGTTCAAATCCCAGCTCTGCCACTTAATTCCTGGGCAACCAAGGGCAAGTTGATCAACTCTACAGTACCTTGGTTCCTAATCTGTAAAATAAGTATAATATTAATATCTAGCTTATATGGTAATTTTGAAGATTAAATGGTCTATTACACACAAAGCGTTTACAACAGGGCCCTGAATAAATGTTAGCTGTTCTTCTCAGCATTATTTTGTGGTCAGAATGTCTTAGATGCTGTCAAGAGGTCACATAAAATGGTATGTTTCTTGCCCTCTGGGAGCTTAAAACCTCATTCAGAAAGGGTTCTGCAAATAAACAAGCAGGCAAAAAATCTGTATTAATCACGAGCCCCCTTCACATTTCTTCGACGCCTGACAATTTCCACTTACATTGACTCTTCAGAATAATTTCTTGATTAGTCTCCATCCTAATCAAATAACATCTATCAGGGATAATAGTTGTACATATTCGGAGGCTGTTCTAACCTCTTTCCTATAAAAAGTAGCATGGTTTAACCATAATTCCTATACTTAATTCTAATTCCTCTTCTATTTTTTTTGTTTTTGATGGATGCTATACGGATGAAAAAAGTACTGCTTCATGGAGCTCACTGAGCATGTCACAGCAAATAGTGCCTCTAAGAATATTGATGTTATTGATGGTAACAGCCCTGCTGTCCTTTGGGTGCAGAGCTTATAAGCAAGCTCTGACTTCTCTAACCTTACATGTCTGTAAGGGAAAGAGTCAGCTTAAAGTCTCAGCAGGAAAGGAGAGGTCTCATACGTTCATATTCCATCTCCTGTATTTACATTTTCATGCACACGTACACAGCTCCAACTTGCAATCATTCTTATTCATCCAAGAAATGACAGAGGAAAATATCACCAGTGGCAGAAAGAATTGCTTGCATATGAATGTATATGAAGATAAAGAAAGTGCTGTATGGGATGATATTGAAGCTGACTGCGTTCTGAAATTTCACGCTGACGCTTAGCAGAGCATACCAGCCCTCAATAGTGATTTTCTTCCAGCGTTCCAGTGACTCGGCTGGTGAGACTCAAGGCCTAATTCTAAAGCAAAGCTACCATGACTCTTTTACCCTTTCTGTCAAATATTCACTTAATTTAGGATAATTACCTTTAAGCCCTGTTCCTTTCAGATTCTTCCAAGCATCATCTGATTAACCATTTGTTAACATGACCAAAAAAAAAAAAACAGCTTTGGAATCCAAAGAGCAGAAGACAAAGAGGTTGGAGGTTCAAGATCCCAACACTACACTCAGATTCGCCTATCAGGAAAGAGTCCTGACATTTTCTTACTCACTTAGGTCCCAAGTCCAGGAACAAACAGCAAACTGATCTAGCCAATAATATTTCATTATTCTCAATATCTCTTCTCAATTTAGGATAAAAGATTTGTTTAAAATGTCAAAGGAGCCAAAGAGTGAAGTAAAAAAAATTTCAACTCAGAATCTCCTAAGTCTCCTGCGGCCCCATTTCAAAATTGGGTGAAGATGAATCATATAAATATTTACAAATAATTATAAAAGATCAATTAAAATATTTTTCTTAGCCATTGAATCATTCGTGTCATTTTTCTTGGTTAGTAATTCAGATACCAAAAATTCACCATCATTCTATTTCTTCCTATTTTTTCCAGTTATTCATCTGTTTCATTGGTATCTGCATGAGGCAAAACTCTCTGGAAATAGAGTGAGTCTAAACAATCAAGATATCTGGTTTCTTTCACTATCTTAGCCAGGAAATAACTCTGAGACCCTGAAAAAACTACTTGTCCTCTCAATTATTGTTTCCTTATCTGTGAAGAATAACATTAGCCAAATCTGCTTTTCAGGTAATTGTAAGATTAAAGGAAAGAATGTTTATGACTGCACATGAAAAAAAAAATGTGCTATACAAATGCAAGGTAGTTCAGTTAATTTTTTGCTGCAATGTCTAAAATATTGGCACACGCATTCATTTCTTCCTTTTTTCACTACTTCCTTTCTCTTTTCCTTTCCATCTTGCTTCCCTTTGTGATCCCAGGAAATAGATGATTCAGTGCCCTCATCCGTTTCTCCCTCTGAGGACCTTTCAGGGGCAAAGTGCTACACTATAAGAAGCTTTACTATGTTACATTTTTTAACTTTGGAAATCTGATTTGTCCTGCATGATTGTACAACAACTATAGACACAGAAAAAAAATTATTTGTAAATGTTATTTACATTGCACTTCTAGAGATTCTGAACAAGTTTCATTCATTTATTCAAAATTTCTAAGTGTGGAAATTACTTTACAAAGTAAAACCAGGCATTGTCTTTATGATCTTACTGTAATACGTAGAGAAGAATTTCTTGATACTGCTACAAAGGCACCATTAAATTGAAATGCATAGAAATCTAGCCTTCTGTCTGATATGATGGCAACTCAACAGTGAGAAAAGACTTCAGGTGATTGGTTTATCCTTTGACTGCCTCAAAAATTAATAATAATAATAATAATAGTCATTGAATCATCTATTTCCTTTTCACATAAAACAAGGTCCAAATTTCAAAAGAATGCAGAAATAAATCCAACTTATATTGGGCTACTAGTTTATTTAGTGGCCTTGTATTTATCAGACTTTTCTGTTCTGATGTGACAGTTTTAAGTAATTCACAGTGTTACAAAGAAGAGCTTGACAGCCAACAAGTTATATCATCTCAGTTTGTATTATACAACTATTAGTTTGATATTGTTTGTATTACCCAAATTTTAGTCCCTGAGGGGCCTCAAGCACTGCCACCTTGCAAACACGGAAAGTTCAAACAAGGGGCTTTGAAATGTAAAACAAAGTCTATCTCCTAAAGCAATGACTAGCACCTCATCATTTGAATCTTAATAAAGTATCTCTTAGCAACCCTAAAATCTAGCTTTTTTTTTTCCTCAAAATGAAGGCTCTGTCCTAAACACCAGTCAAAAGTTCTTGGAATTTATAAATATAGGTTTTCAGGTAATTTTGTTGATGTAGACAAGTTCTTGGTTTGGGGAAATCACATAAAATGAAGACTTGAAGGACAGACAGTTGAGGGGCCCAGCATCACCCGTTCTCTGAGAGCAGGTGTCATATCCTACTTCACTTTGTATCCCAGTGGCAATATTTACTGAGCGACCTCGATAAATATGACCAATGTACCACGCGGCCTGAAGTCCTTTTATTCTAATGAAATCCCCCTTAGTGTTGGGTTTACCATCCAGCTCTGCATCTGAGATTTTCTCACTGGGGGGGGGGGGTGAGCTGGTGGGTAATTGGGGAAAGGCTGCTGGTTCCTAGTCGTCAAGCAACCCTAGTCAGCTGATTCCTGTTGGTGATGCCAGCCAAGGAAACACCGTGGAAAGAGAGAAAACGAATTCTGAATCTCCTATCGCATGTGTCCTGACCATTTCCGGGCCCTTGCCCCGCCGCCACACATCCCAACCCTTCAGACCCTTCTCCCCTCAAGCGCATCTTTCTTTTTTCGCTTCCTCGGAATTTAGGCGCACTCTGTCCCCTCCCCTGCCTACGGGTTCTTTTTCCAAATTACTCTAGGCAGTGCCAGGGATAGAGCAAGAGCAAAGACAGCTTGCTGCCAAGCCCCCCGGCCGAGGTTAGTCGGATTCCCCCTCCCTCGGCACCCCTGTGCCCGAAACAGGGCTGAGAGCTCACAGGGGTGACCCCGGAGTGGACTGGAAGAGGCAGGAACCGGGTACCCATTGCTGTTTTCCGAGAGGAGTAAATGCCAGCCCTGCCTGCCCTCCCCAGGGGGCCGCGAGGGACCTCCATCCTCTCAGAGCCCGGTGCAGAAATGCTGCCTCTGGTCGCCCACGCCG